AATGTTTACATTACAGAAGCGCTTCATTGAGTGAATGAAATCATAAAATATAAATCTCATCACTCTATGCAAGCACTGCAAATCATTTATTTGTAATTTTTGCATTTCTTAAATTATTACTACAAAAAAACAAAAAAAAGATGCATAATATTACACACTGGTCAATGTGTTCCTGTACTGCCTGAGTTAAAGCGCGGTAGTCGTCGCGCAGCACGTGTTTGAATTTCATGTAAATAAACAATGTACTTTACACGCGTTGTATATGTCGCTACAAGTTCCATATCAAACAGGACGCAGCACGACGACTGTCGCCCTTTAATGATAACCTTATTATTATACATACATTTAGTGACATATAACTGCCCGAAATTCCAGCGTAAATCATTTTACGAGTTTCGTTATATTCTGTGATTCTATTTCCATCATGTTCTACGTTACTGCGTCTGATGTAACCGAAGAAAATTTTTTGAATATGCTACTAACTCTGTCTTGTACTGACTGTTGTTTTAGGTGGTTAATTGACTTAGAAGGAGCTCCAGGGTCATTGTATGAAGGCGAAAAATACCAGTTACGATTCAAATTTGGTTCAAGATATCCATTTGATTCGCCGGAGGTAAGTTTATGCGAAGGGCACTTAATTTCGTTTAGACAAAGCTATGAGAAATCCTTGCGTGTGATAGGAATACAACCATGGACACTGAAGCATTAATGTTGTTGGTATGTGGTGATTGACAAATCAATCATGGGAGAAGGGACACACAGTGACAACAACAAGAGCAGTGCAATCTAATTCTAAAAGTATGTCACTTCACTAGATACTTGCCTGTCACCACTGTACTGTTACATGTTGATACATTGGTCAGTGCATTAAAGTGCATTAATTTACCGCTATGTTTGAAAATTAATACCTGGACAACAAGACATTGAGGTCCTACCATGTCCGACACTTCTGATGTAACAAATCTGCATACCAAATAAGAGGAAGCTTTTGGTCGGCCTAAATAATGATGTTTTGACTGTGTGAAGTAAACCAAATTTTATTCTTGTTTGAACAGGCCTTAGACATGAATGTCTTCAAACATCCAAGGTTTGGCAGATATTTTAAGTCTATTATGGTATATTTACTTCTTCTACACCTTGATACTGAGAAATTCAAGATAACAGAAAGTAATTCTTTAAAATGGAATTCTTATTTAATAAATGGTGTTATTTTGCATTCTTGCATTCCCTGGTATGTATAGGTATGAGCAGATCCAGACTTACCGCATGATCAAAATGATGAGTCAGTTTGTGTTTAATCACAATCAATTAACTTTTGTCTGGTCAAGTCTACATGTATGTAAAAATACAAGTACAAGGGGCTAGCAGGATAAGGGTTATTCACATACCAAGTATTACCACAAAATTAAGAGGTTAATTTGAAATCAATATTTATTGCATTGCTCAAATGTAGAAATGCATAAATATTTGAAAATTATTTGAATGTGGACTGAAACTATTTCCCATGTTGCACTATGGTATTAAACTTGTATAATATTTGTCTGGG